ATGAGTGAAGAGGAATATACAAATTCCACAGCGAGCACGAAGGAGTTCATCTGTAATTTTTCAGAGAACTTTGCTCTGATTGACACGGAGGTTATGTGCTCAAGACCCTCTGACGATGATAGTCATGGTCCAATGTTTATTTCATTCAGACCAGCTTCCTTTTCATCTGGAGACAGAAGGCTTATCGCTCGGGCGAGACTCTTCGAGATGCTAACTTGCGGAGGAAGGAGAAACAGAAGGAGAATAGAAGGAAAGGAAGGCCGCCAACTTCTGGTCAAGCAGCTCCATCGACTGCAGCGGCATAAAACTCAGAGCGGAGGCTAACTTTTAATGATAGCTAGGAAGTGAAGATACTTCTGATCACAGTTGATACTTTGCTTCCAGGCTTGACTTTAAGTTGCCAGGCTGAAGTTTTAATGAATTCTGGTTTGCAACAAGGAGAAACTTTTTGTCAAAGAAGATACTCCTGCATTCCAGGTTTATACGCTTTAGCATGCAGATAACTACAGTTTACTAAACGGTCATTATCTGCAGGTAGGTATGGACAGTTTTTCAGAACTGATGATAACTACCACAGCCGCTCTTTTGAAGTGACCTCTAATGGACAACCATTCATGGTTGATGATTAAGTCATTTCATAAGTTTGCATTTGTATTGCAAGTTTTGTACATACATTTGCCGGTGTCTCCTTCCTGTCTGTTTTTGATGTCAATGAGAAAGAGTCCTTTTGATGCAGTTTAATTTTGTGTAAGTCCTGTGTATGGAAGCGGCCGAGACCACTTTTCGAGAAGACCATTCCTCGGACAGAGAGTTGACGCTCCTTGCATTTTGCAAGGCATCTTAATTCGTTGCAGTTTGCGCGGTCTGGAATTCTTAGTTCTTCGTTACGCGAGTGTCGTTTACTGCTTTTACAGGTCTCTGTGTAAGAAAGCCGCTTTCCTTTGAATTTAAGTTTCTTTGAAGCTCTGGCTATTTAAGGGCTATTGAGCGCCGGTACATGGTATCTTCGCCGGTGAACGATACAGTCTCCAGCCGAGATACATTGTCTTTGACCTTGTATTTGAGGTGAGTCAGCTATTGCTCCCTCACTGTATTTAGTATACCTAGAGATTACCTTTTCTAAAGTGTTTCACTGGAATTGGTAAGTACAGGGCACCGTGGTTTCCTTTTAAGCTTACTAGAGCTTGCTGGACTGTTTTAGCCTTGCGGTAGAAAAATAGTGTGCGACATACGCAATAGGCAGGAGTGGACATGAATTTTGTGCCTGCTGAAATGTAGAGGCCTACTTGTACAGGTTCCACTCCAGTGGCCTATCTAGTGTGTCCATACTTGACTGCCATAAGGCTCAAGAGGATAAGACTCTGCGCATAAAAGACACTAGCGGTCTGCACCTCAACCGTGTACGCCCTAGTCACTCTTTCACCCCCTCCCCCCCG